AAATGGTCGCCGGGATCTCGTTGAGAACGAGAGAGCCACGAGACTTGTGTTTGCCTCTCAAATTTTTTCCATTTTCTCCCACCATCGCGTCTCCCTGACCTATGTAGCTAAGATAATTGGAACTGTATGCTCGATCGCAGCATACAATTGAGACACTACTTGAGAAGCAAAAACAAGTCTCGAGGTTCTCTCGCTCGAAGCGAGATCTCTGCGGTCATTTGATTGTAAGGAAATTTTGTCAACTCATGTTCGTGAAAGAATGTACAAACTTTAACTCACCATTGGTTATTCTCTCCGGAACTCACAATGGAAGTATTCACACTGCACATAGCAGTATATAGTTTACAGTCAAGGCATTTGATCCTGCAAGTAATTATGATTAAATCTGAATTGATATTTCTGTTGTATTCAATGCGTGGGTTGTGCTTACTAGTCATTAAAATGACGCAGACAGATTAATAGTTGACAGTTGAAAACAATCTGTAGTGCTGTGCAAAACTTTACTGCGATAAATTAAATATATTGTTTATACATGAGTTGTTGAACACACTACATAGTTTGTTACTTCATTCAGCTTCTTTCAGTCATAATTCAAGACATACCAAATGGCATATCAAGAATATAGCAAATTATCTTTTTTTTCTATAATATTCTTGTGTAACCGGAAGTTATTAAAACTATTTAAGGGTGCATAGGGAATACATTTCGTTATGAGTTATTTTTAATATAAATGTCTGAATTATCTTGTCAAAGTCAGTTTTTTCATGTTTTTTTTTTCTTCCAAAAAACGAAAGAATTTCACAATGTCGAAAACGGAAAGTCTTTATTGTAGTGTTGGTGGTTGTAATATGGTGATTTTTTTTCTAAAACTTAACCATAGTGACTGTCATGAATATTGTAAACCCCAACAGTAAAATGATATTACACCGACATTAAAAAGACCCAGGGTTGCGACGCGACGTGTTCCATATGGGTCCCATACGACGCATCATACAGCGCATGTAAAATACATTGTTAATATCCGAAATAATTCGAACTTGCGGTGAGCAAGAAGATTCTTGTTGAATATCACACGATCAATCATGCGCGCGACAATTAAACACGAATGATTCAGGTGAGTATCCCTCGTCGAAACCATAGATACAACTACGCCAATTTATCAAATTAATAGATAATATTCAATTTACAAATTTCATTTTCTCTTTAAACGCATCAACTGCGTTTATCGCAGATTGCGCAATTCACCATTAGCTACCTGGAGCTCCTCGATATTGTCCAGGGTCGGGAGCAAACAAGTGGAGGATAAGTTATTGCGGTGGTGACAATCATCTAGTTTTAGTAACCAAAACCGTAATATATCACTGATATAGTTACGCAATGAACACTGGGTAATTGAAAAATTCAGCTGAAGAAGTCTTAAAGTTTACTATTATGGAAAAGCATAATTATCGTATGTCCAAATCAAATAGAAACCACAAGATTAAGAACACCCACGCGTCCCCAATCAGTGGGAAAACAACGTGTCTCTCGAGAAAACCCATTGGCATTTATGCTTTGATTCATGCATCTCGAAAAAAAGACCCTCTAAGTGGACAATAGCAACACATACCCTAGTCAGAATGTTGCATCATTAAGGACGTCATATATTGGTAATCAAATTATGAAACAGATAATATGGTTCAGATAAAGAAGCCGTTTCGGTGTAACTCAGGGCTGACATGTTTATAACTTTCGCTACTGGTCGTAGGACATAGCATTGTGTTTCCCCCAGGCATATTAGTGTATACGTGTTCCTTTTTTCCATAATGTGAATAATATTTATTATTGTACAAATATTTGTTGTTTCCATATCAACGGTCATGTTGAAATTTGAGTGAACGTAGTTACTTTGCGAATGTTTTTTGTTTCAACACTTCAGTTTGATCATTGCTTATATAATTGTAGATATCGCTTAGCGTGCACAACTTCTTGATGAATCCATATATTAGAAGTCTATTTTGACATTGACATTGTGTATTATTGCCCACATAATACGTATTTCTTCTGACATTTCAAAGTGGGAGGGTCGTCACCTGCGCACGCGCGGGAATTGAGTTCCAAGCGACGATAACAACACACGCCAAAACGCAAGGGCTCATGGGTAGACGCTAGTTTGTAAACAATGACACGCTATGACCATCTGACGCATGCGCAGGTGACGACTCCCCCGATTTAACATAAACAAGATCCATAACATTCGTTTAACTACATGATCAACATGACGTAGTTGCCCCGTCATGCATTGCGTTTGTACATGCACATGCGCACTGTGTCATCAAGACCGCATGCGCGTTTTCGCGAGACTATACCCGACAGCTTCCGTAACATTCGTCAGAAAGAGATTTGTAATATATAGGTTATTACGCCCAGGGCAATAATTCGTGATATTCTTGCGATAGCCGCGGAATATAAGTCATTAATGATTTCATATTGACTCCACTCATCCGGGAACCTTCTAATGACCCGTATGTATCTTATTTCACGAACCTGTAATTCAAGGTTAAAGAAGCTGATAGTTTGGTTAATCTATTTAGCCACAGAACGTACCCTCTGATGAAGAAAATAATCAAATTAAGCGAAAGATAACATTTTCTGATGGTAATCTGATATTTGTCGATGAGAAGTGCAGATTACAGAAGATGGTTTTGATGTCGCTCTAGTAATTTAGTTAGTGCAGTTGCATCAATAAACATTTTCAGAGTCGACGGACGGAATCAGTTCCAGTCGCTTTCAATAAACTATATTCGATAATGATAACGGCGAAATCCCAGGTTGGGAGCAAATTGTTACCCAAATTTCCCTTAACGATTTTATTTGAAACCCCATTTTTTATTAAACTCGAATTGCCCTCAAATACGGATTTGCATGACAGTCTAAACTCTTTTAGATTTCGTTCCACTTGATAACTAGTTAGAATATCTATAATACTGCCAGCACAGTCCACAATCGTGTTGTATTGTTCTCTCCTCTCCCTGAGACAATATATCTCAGACGCGAGATCTCGTTGAGAGCGAAAGATCATTAAAACTGAACCCAGTATGCAATCTCCTACGTAGATTTCTACGAGTATATCTCTGCCACCCCGCGATCTTATGCTTGTCGTTGATTGGTCGATGAGTCACAGTGGTACTACCACTTTTAAAGATGTCCACCTTTGCCACGCTGAATTCTGAACGTTTGTAGATTCTGACTGTTTTCAAAGTGAGACGCTCATTTTTGATTTTCCAAGGCACAAACTGAGTTAACCGTCAATACTAAGTTCCAAGATAGTATGATACTGTACAACAGTTTCATTTTTAATGTTACCAGAAAAATAAGCCTAAGCGACCCAGACTATTTTCGAAAAAATGAAACAAAAACCAACAGCATTTCAGACGTTTAAAATAATTTGCGGCAATAGACTTTCTAATATATTTGATACAAGTGCTCACCAGAGAATTTCCCATTGATCAATTGGTCTCTCTTGCTATGGTATGGCTTCCATCTTCACTGGTTACCAAAACGTTTGATTCAGCGAAACGAGCTTGTGAATTCGGCGAGTTTTGTGATAAGTTGCACGAGAGTATTTTGTCTGTCCCCGCCAGTTTGAATATTTTCCATGGTAACACCGCGTCGTGAAATCCAACAACAGTACTTAAAACTCCTTACCACTAAATCATTATTAGCAGTGGACCACACTCCAATTTATACCGAGACATTCCACTATTTGTGAGTGTTTTCCTCATTTAAAAATATCTGCATGAAGTCGAACAGAAAATTGAAAAAAGCACAGATTTATCATTTTAGAGAATCAGATTATTAGTCCAGATTGCCTGTGCAGATGCTAAGATTGAATTACATAGATTCAGCAACCCTTAAATACTCGAGCAAAATATTATAGAATCTCGGTAATTTGATTGGCAATACATCTCAACAGCTTATTTTTGATTGTATTGACAGTGCAACGTTGATGTATGATATAACACGACTACAGGCCTGATTGGAAAAAAAGTCAATCAGGAGGTATGGTCGTTCCGTGGAAAATGAAAGAGAAGACACGGTTTCACTGACAGAGTCGTATACGAATAGAATAAACAAACAAGTGTTGTTTCTGCTCATAAATACTGTGTACGGCATTAAGAATTAACGCCTTCTTCAGTAATAGCTTGCAAAATAAAGCAATTTTAAAAAATAGCGTATTCGCGAAATATACAACTATTCTGATGCGCATTAAAGCGCGGTGGTCGTCGCGCAGCGCGTGTTCGAATTTCATGTAAATAAACAATGCATTTTACTCGCGTTGTGTACGTCGCTATGAGTCCCGTATCGAACAGGACGCGGCGCGCCGACCACCGCCCTTTAACGTTTCCTATACCGCCAATGCGTCGCACGTGAGCACATGCTTTTACTGAAGCCGATGTATACTCTGCATATTCTGTATGATTTTTAGGGTATATATTAGCGGAAAATGCGCTTTATTTGTGTATATTAAGCGTGAAATTGTATTCATTTTCGACTGTGTCTGGAAAAACCTTCCAGTCTTAACGGAACGACCCGAGCATCAGTCGGCCGAATTCACGTGTTTTTATTTTGACAGAACCATCACCAGTTGCCTGAAAATTTGTATAATTGACCTTTGACTTATATAACAATCATATCGACTTCTATTGAAGTACATAATCAGACAACATTTAAGGCTGCGGCAAATCTGTCAAAGGAATAACAGACGCGACGTGCGTTACAGAAAAAAATGCCTACTCGATCAGTTGGTTAATTATATTTTTTTACTTCTTTCCACATTCAATAAATCAACTCAATAATAATCATATCATCGAAAGCCACGTTCATTTTAAGAATGCAGGTATACGGTATAGCAATCAAACTGGACTAGAAATTACCAAGGACATAACATGGCATTACTAACAACAGTAACACGTAACGGAAGTTCTGGAATACGTCGTCGCAGACGCTAATGAGTAGGCATGGCACTGCTGATGCTAGCGAGTAGACATTACACTGCTGAAGAAGGTGAGTAGACATGGCACTGCTGAAGAAGGTGAGTAGACGTGGCACTGCTGAAGAGAGCAAGTAGACATGGCACTGCTGATGCTAGGAAGTAGACGTGGCACTACTGAAGAGAGTGATTAGACACGGCACTGCCAATGCTAGCGAGTAGACATGGCACTGCTGATGCTAGAAAGTAGACATGGCACTGCTGAAAAAAGTGATTAGACATGACACTGGCAATCCCACGAGTAGACATGGCACTGCTGATGCTAGGAAGTAGACGTGGCACTACTGAAGAGAGTGATTAGACATGGCACTGCCAATGCTAGCGAGTAGACATGGCACCAGGGGCGGATCCAGCAAAATGTATTTGGGGAGAGGGGGGGGGGGTCCAGGCCTATAGGTCGAATACACGGGACCGTGTGATTCGGACGATGCTATGCGTAATCCAGATGCATTTTCATGCATTTGGAGGGGGCCCTGGCCCCCTTGGCCCCCCTCTGGATCCGCCACTGCATGGCACTGCCGAAGAGAGCGAGTAGGCATGGCACTACCAATGTTAGCGAGTAGACATGGCACTACTGAAGAGAGTGAGTAGACATGGCACTGTCAATGCTAGCAAGTAGACGTGGAACTGCTGAAGGGAGTAAGTAGACATGGCACTGCCAATGTCAGCAAGTAGACATGGCATTACCAATGCTAGCGAGTAGACATGGCACTACTGAAGGGAGTGAGTAGACATGGCACTGCCAATGCTAGCAAGTAGACATGGCACTGCTGAAGGGAGTGAGTAGACATGGCACTGCCAATGCTAGCAAGTAGACATGGCACTTCTAATGCTAGCGAGTAGACATGGCACTATTGAAGAGAGTGAGTAAACATGGCACTGCTAATGCTATCAAGGAGACATGGCACTACTGAAGAGAGTGAGTAAACATGGCACTGCTAATGCTAGCAAGTAAACATGGCACTGCCAATGCTAGCGAGTAGACATGGCACTATTGAAGAGCGTGAGTAAACATGGCACTGCTAATGGTATCAAGGAGACATGGCACTACTGAAGAGAGTGAGTAAACATGGCACTGCTAATGCTAGCAAGTAAACATGGCACTGCCAATGCTAGCGAGTAGACATGGCACTATTGAAGAGCGTGAGTAAATATGGCACTGCTAATGCTATCCAGGAGACATGGCACTACTGAAGAGAGTGAGTAAACATGGCACTGCTAATGCTAGCAAGTAAACATGGCACTGCCAATGCTAGCGAGTAGACATGGCACTACTGAAGAGAGTGAGTAGACATGGCACTGCTAATGCTAGCAAGTAGACATGGCACTTCCAATGCTAGCGAGTAGACATGACACTACCAATGCTAGCAAGTAGACATGGCACTACCAATGCTAGCGAGTAGACATGGCACTGCCAATACTAGCGAGCAGACATGGCATTACCAATGCTAGCGAGTAGACATGGCACTGCTGAAGAGAGTGAGTAAACATGGTGCTACTGATGCTAGCAAGTAGACAGGACACTGCTGATGGTAATGAGTTAATCTCTCCATAGAATGCCATAGAACCTCCGGTAACAAGTTTCAGAATATGGCACATGTAGATTCAGATTCAGGTAACGATGCGGTTATTCCCCTGGCTCAGTTCTGCTCATGTTAAAAATCAATTCTCACCAGGGGATGTAGCTCAGTGGTAGAGCTCTCGCTTCGCATGCGAGAGGGCTCGGTTTCAGTCCCCGACATCTGCATTTTTTCCTATGAAATTGATAAAGCCCTTAGCTTGGGAAGCTCCACAATATGCAGCAACCGTGTATATGTTGCAGAGATGTCAAAAATTGAGTATTCATACCACACGCCTAAGGCAATGTGTTAATAGCACCCGAGTTACAGTAAAGTCACAAGCAAGGGCAATGAGTTCTGCTGATACTCGACATGGCACTGATGATGTTAGTCAATTGACGCAACATATTGCTGAAGCTAATGACTAAACGTGTCATTGTAGAAATCAATGTGCATACCTATTACTGCTGTATCTAGTGAGTAGAGAACTCATTGCTGATGTAAATGCTTACGTAATGAAGAAAACGAGTCATTATTGAAACTAGTGGGTATATGTGTCACTGGTGCAGCTAGAGTGTGGACATATCACAGATACAGCCAGTGAGTAAATGCATCATGCTTGAAGGAAATCATTAGACATTTCTCTGCCGAAACCAGTTAGTTGACACTACACTGTCTATGCTGGCGATTATACGTGTCAAATCAGAAGCTAATATGTGCTACTGCAGAAGCTCGCTTGTCGTGTGTCATTTCAGAAACTAGTTCATAGACGTGTCATTGTTGAAGCTAGTAGGTAGATTTCCACGTGAGCCAATCAGAATGTGATCTTGCAAGCAGCTGTGTCACGTAGGCAACTCAGTAGATCATAAACATTTGTTGTTACTCAAATAACAGCACACCTGGTAGATTCTTATTGTCCTTCCAAAGTTGCAAACACCCTTTGTTATGCAAATCACATGCACACCTGGTATATTCCAACTGTCTTTTCAAAGTTGAAAACAAGTATGACCTGTCAATCACCTTTCACACAGTTGAAATTGATGAGTAAATATGTTGTTACTGTTACAGAAAGTAAGTAAAAATGTATTACTGCAAAAGTGAGAGAGTAGTTATGTTACTGCAGGAGCGAGTGAGTAGTTGTGTTACTGCAGAAGCGAGTGAGTAGTTGTGTTACAGCTGAAGCGAGTGAGTAGTTGTGTTACTGCAGGAGCGAGTGAGTAGTTGTGTTACTGCAGAAGCGAGTGAGTAGTTGTGTTACAGCTGAAACGATTGAGTAGTTATGTTACTGCAGGAGCGAGTGAGTAGTTGTGTTACTGCCGAAGCGAGTGAGTAGTTGTGTCACTGCAGAAGCGAGTGAGTAGTTGTGTTACTGCTAAAGCTAGTGCGTAGTTGTGTTTCTGTAGAAGCGAGTGAGTAGTTGTGTTACTACAGAAGCGAGTGAGTAGTTGTGTTACTGTTGAAGCAAGTGAGTAGTTGTGTTACTGTTGAAGAAAGTGAGTAGTTGTGTTACTGCTGAAGCGAGTGAGTAGTTGTGTTACTGCTTAAGCGGTTGTGTTACTGCAGAAACGAGTGAGTAGTTGAATTACTGCAGAAGCGATTGTGTAGTTGTGTAACTGCAGAAGCGAATGAGTAGTTGTGGTAGTACAGAAGCGAGTGAGTAGTTGCGTTTCTGTAGAAGCGATTGAGTAGTTGTATTACTGCTGAGGCTAGTGAATATTTGTGCTACTTATGAAAAGTGTGAGTAGTTGTCTTTCTGCAAAAGCAAGTGAGTAGTATTGTTACTGCAGAAGCGAGTGAGTAGCTGTGTTGCTCCCCGAGTGAGTGAGTAGTTGTGTTACCCCTGAAGCGAGTGAGTGGTTGTACTACCGTAGAAGTGATTGAGTAGTTGTGTTACAGCTGAAGTGAGTGAGTATTTTTGTTACTGCTGAAGCGATTGCGTTACTGATTTAGCGTGTGAGTAGTTGTGTAACAGCTGAAGCGTTTTTTTTACTGCAGAAGCGAGTGAGTAGTTATGTTACTACAGAAGCAAATGAGTAGTTGTGTTACTGTTGAAGCAGGTGAGTAGTTCTGCTACTGCTGAAGCGTGTGAGTAGTTGTGTTACTGCTTAAGC